CGCCCATGGGCTCCCTGCTCCCCCAGTTTTTTTCTCTTTGTTAACAAATGTGTCTGAGTCTTGGAAAACACCCCAAACCCGGAAATGTGTGGGAAAAAGAAAACAAAAACTTTCCAAATTCCAACAGTCCTGTGTAGTTTGTTCTGGGGTGGGTGCTGTTAGGTCCTGGGTCTGGGCCCAGAGCTTCTGTGGCTTTAGGGAGTGCCCCTGACTGCTGGTAAGTTTTCTCTAAATATTTATGTATTTGGTGTTGAAGATGTGTGTGCTCTTAGAGGACATCTTATAGGAGGCAGCTCTCTGCTTCCACCATGTGGACCCTGAAGATGGAATTGAGGTTTCAGGCAAGTGGCTTTGCTCACTGCACCATCCCTGAGCCATTTCACTGGCCCAGTCCCCCAGAGTTTTGAGTTGAATACAACATTGGGCTGTTGGACAACTGTTCTGTGTCTCACATTCAAGTCCCTGCTGGGCTGAGGGTGGGGACACCTGTGGCTTATGTGTGGTGTTCAGGGGTCTGGCATCTGGCTGGGTTTCCATGACCTTGACTTCTCAGATGGTATGTACCAGTCACTCATTTGGTACAGGATAGCTGACACCTTTTCTAGTCTTTGGAAGGAGGAAGTCTCTCCTGGTGGCCAAGGGTGGCAGTCTCAAGGTGCAACAGTGGCCCAACCCCCTCTGAGGACTTGTTTCTGGGTGCTGCCGACTTTGCCTGGTTTTGCTCCCCACTTGTAGTATGCCACCTTCAGCACCTGACTCCAGCTGTGGCTGTCTGTGGCTTGTCCTCTCCTTGGCCTCTGGAACCTACTGGCTTCTAGACCTGCTTGGCCTCCATGCAGCTTTTAGCCTGGGAGCCAGGGATGACCACACTGACTCATCAGTGGGAACCTGGGGAGGCTTTGACCTGGAGCAGCGCTGCCAGGGTGTTCTGTCCCCAGGTGGTCATGGCCTCACCCCTGGAGCTTTGTGTACAACCTTCTCTGCTCAAACTCCAGGCTTGGCTTCTGGTCTTCACCTACATTGTTAGTCACAGAAAACAGACAGGAGGAGGTCTTTGGTGACAAGAAGGGAAGGAATGGCTTTACTCTTACTTCAGGAATTGTTACAGTGAGCCTGGCTGAGGCAGGAAGTTGAGAGGATGGCTTTGTTGGTGCTGGTTGCCATGTAACTGGGATTCCATCTGCCTCTCTGCATCAGGTCAAGACCTGTCATTTAAGGCTTTGTTTTCTAAAGAAAGCGTTCTGGATGTTGACTATTGACTAGTTCTGGTTTTCGACTCAGTTTACCTTTCCAAAAGGTTCTCCTGGCTCCTCCACCGTTGGAATCTCAGCAGCTTTGAGGTTAGAAACCCCTACAGTAGGCATTATACAGAGGGCATACCCCACTTGGGAACAGGCCCGTGTTCATCCTCTGCATTTGTCAGGCGACTCTTCAGACACAGTGATGCTGTCACTCACCAGAGTGACAGAACCCTTTGTCCTGAAAATTCTCGGCCACCTGGGTAGACCATTCTGAATATGGATGGAGGAACAGCTACCAGCTTGTGGAACCAAAACACTGGGGGAGAGGAGGGTCCCTCTCTCTGCTGAGCTCTAGGCATCAGAAGCTCCTGGGCCTCCCTGGGGGAGAGGAGGGTCCCTCTCTCTGCTGAGCTCTAGGCATCAGAAGCTTCTAGGCATCCTGGAGCCCCCCAAATGCAGCTGGGCCTAGAGCAACAGAACAAGTTTTTCCTGAGGCATCAGGTGGTATAAATACAATCTTACTTCTACCCTCTGTCTGGGGAGTATCTCTAGAATGTGTGTGTGTGTGTGTGTGTGTGTGTGTGTGTGTGTGTGTTGGAACCTTTTGCTGAGGTGCCTGGGAGAAGACACACAGGTGAATACAGAGACCATCTAAGTGTGCCCCCAGGTGGTGCAGCTGGTGGACCAGCTACTGACCCACCGGGCAGCACACTGTCTCTGGGACACTGCATGACCTTTCCTATGAGCAGTCCCAGTGGAACCCAAAGAGTCCTGGCTGATTCTGAGAAGGACAGAGGTCCTGTTGTATGCATTCCTATCTTCCTAATGACAATGCGGCCAGAGCAGGCCTCAGGAGACCTACAGACAGGGACTTGCATTCTGATCCTGCCTCCTCCCCGCTGTGTGTTATGGGCAGTCTGTTTCACAGTCCCATCTGTGAAAAAGAACAGCACATCACAAGATGCAGAGCACTCTGATGTGGGAAGGACCATGAAAGGGGCTGGCAACAGTGGCCCCAACCCTGTTCCAGAACACAGGAAAGCCTTCTATGTGTGAGTGAGGGTGTGAGGCAGGGGACCAGTGACCCTTAGGGAATTAATTAACCAGCTGGAGGGTGAGAAGAGGCAGGTGTATAGCCCTAATCATGGCTTCAGTGCCACCAGAGTCATGGGCTGACCCTGAACCCTGGAAGGAAGACCCTAGGGTGGGTCTGGAAGGCTTAGGAGAGTGTCAGGTGGGAAGGCAGGCAGAAGATCCAAGCAAGGGTTGTTGGGGGTGGGATGGGGAGAGTGGTGGTGGTGGTGGTGGTGTGTGTGTGTGTGTGTGTGTGTGTGACTCCCTTGAGGAGATCTTGGAGAGAGGCCAGGCCAGCTGAGCAAGGGCCTCAGTGACACTGAGATGCTGAGACCCCTTTGCTTGTGCTGAACTTTTTTTTTTCTGGTTTTTCAAGACAGGGTTTCTCTGTGTAGCTTTGGAGCCTAACCTGGCACTCGCTCTGGAGAACAGGCTGGCCTCAAACTCACAAAGATCCACCTGCCTCTGCCTCCCGAGTGCTGGGATTAAAGGCGTGCGCCACCAACGCCCGGCCCTGCTTGTGCTGAACTTAAGAGGATGGTCATTTCGGAGTCCAGGGACAGGTAGGGTGGTGAGCAGCAAGGACGTGTCCTGTGATCTTGGTCTCTCTGGTGTGCAGCCTCATGGGGGAGTCAGGGTAATGGCAGTGTTTGGGGCAGCTTTCTATCATTCAAGCTGTCCTTTGCCCCATGTGTTAGAGGGAAGCCTAGAAAGGCAGCCCGCTAAAGAGACAGCTGGAGATGGAGCCCTTTGCTTCCTGTGGCTGTCTTCAGGGGATGGAAGAACCATCTTTTCCTTCTCCTCTTCCCTCATCCCCTCCTCTTCTTCCTCCTCCCCTTCTTCCTGCTCTCTCTTCCTCCTCCTCCTAGTCTCTCTTCCTCCTCCTATTCTCTCTTCCTCCTCCTCCTATTCCCTCTCCCTCTTTCCTTCTCCTTCTATTCCTTTTTCCTTTCTCCTTTTCATTCTCCTTTTCTCTCTCTCTCTCCCTCCTCTCTCTCTCCCCCCCCCCCCCCCCCTCTCTCTCTCTGTCTCTCTCTCTCTCTCTCTCTCTCTCTCTCTCTGTCTCTTTTATAAATTATTTATTTGTGTGTGTCATGGGGGGGGGACTTGTGTCCATGTGGAGGTCTGGGGACGGCTTTGTGGAGTCAGTTCTCTCCTTCCATCATGTGGGTTTCAGGACTGGAATTCGTATGATCAGGCTTGGAGGCAGGCGCCTTTACCCGCCATTGCCAGCTCTACCCTTCCCCTTCTCTCTCCCGCTCTTTCTTCTCCTCCTCCATCATGGCCCTTCTTCTCCAGTCTTATCATAGACTCTCCAGGAGGCTACAGCCGTGTAGAAATCAGGATGGACTGGCCTGCTGTGTCACCTGTCACCTTCTTCACTGATCTGTTCAGGAAAAACAGAGAAGTGTGACTCTAAGGAATAGAGTGACCCCTGATCCTTGACCCATGTCCATGCTGAGAACTGAACATCCTGCCTGGGGCTCAAGTCTGAGATCACTGAGCATATCAAGATGGGATGGGTGTTGATAACCTTGTCAACCACCTGATGGCTGTGGTGGCGGGGTCTCCTGCCTGTGAAGACCCCAGCAACACCCACCACACCCCAGGACCTCTCCCCGACAAAGGCCAGCTTGCTCACAAGCACTCTGTCTCTCCTCCGACCTCTCTCCCTGCCTCTTTCAAGGTAGACCTGTCAATGGCTGGGTTACTCATTCCTCCACATGGTGGGATGAAGGGAAGAGGGTTAGAATTTGCCTGTTCATCTGGGTCTCCACTCTCCCAGTATGCTGTGTAACTCTGGGCTATCCTGGGCCTTCCCTGGCTTTTGCTTTTCCCTTTGTTCAGTGAGAGGAGTCAGTTCCTAAGCCACCCTGTTTTGGGGCTTCTATGGGAGGGAGGGAGGGAAGGAGAGAGAGAGGGAAGGAGGGAGGGAGGGAGGGAGAAGGGAAGGGAGGGAGGGAGAGGGGGTTTGCAGGCTGGTCCACTCACTGTTTCTGGATGTCTTGAATGGTGTCAGGCAGT